AAGCTGGGGGAGAACCTCTACACAGAGGAGGCAGAGGAGGAGACCCCATGTGAGCAGACAGCCGAGAACTATTTGGACAGGCTCCAAACTCTGCTATTGGCCTATGCGATGGCGGGGGTCGCCCAACCAGCGACCTCTGACCCTACATTCGATGCCAAAAATGAGGCGATCCTCGGCTCTGACAGCACGATTTACGCCATCGCTCCACTGGATATTTGTATGCAATATTTCTATCGTGCTAAGAGGACAGCTGCTCTCATCCCAGCCTCCAAGCGACTGCAATGGCTCCAAACTCGCGACCTGGAAGAACGCAGTGAGTGGACATCGAGGTTCAGGGAAAGCACCGCTACCCTCGGCACGATTATGAAAGAAGTCTACCAAGCGCGTGATGCGCACTGGATCCCCCCAGTGGTCGCTGAAGCCCCGGTGGGAGTGACCCCCGGCCAAGCGAGCGGCAGCAGTCAGAGCCTACCGAGCAAGATGGTCCTCAGGAAGCCCGTCAACGGCAAGCAGGTTGCCAAGGTGATGAAGGACGGCGCCGCCCTCTGCGCAGCTTTTCAGCGAGGGGCCTGCAAGACCAAAGGGAAGTGCCCGCAGGGCGCTCATCGGTGCGGGGCGATCCTTAAGAAAGATCGAGTTTGTGGAGCATCCAGTCATGGGGCGGGGCAGTGTCGCACCTTGAGGTCCAAGCAGCACCCAGAAGGCCTCCCCAACCTCTCGGGTCGCAATAAGGCGAGGGTTGCGACAGACAACGCCGCTTGCCATTGGGTGCTGGACGAGATCCAGGCCTTGGCCCAGCGTGGGGGTGGTTCCATCCGTGAGAATCCCGGTAACTCGCTTCATTGGGAGTTACCCAAGGAGCGCGAGATGATGCAGACTGGGCTTTGGCAGGACACCACCTATGCAGCCTGTTGCTTCGCAGGTGCACGAGCCAAGCACCAGCGGCTCCGCCACAACATCGAGGAGATCAGTCGGTGGCCAACCCTGCGTTGCAACCATGTCCATGCCCCCGAGGAGTGGGCCCCATTCGAAGTGGATGGCGCCAGAGTTTTCCCTAGCAAGGAGGAGGCCGAGTATACAGCGCCGCTGGCTTTCTCTATCGCAGTCTCGGTCTCGTATTGGGCAGTCTGGACAGGCCACGCTAGATTGAAGTTAGGTCGGCTTCCACCAGTGGAGACAACAGGCCATCGAGCGCACTGGCTCTATCTCGACCACAGGTCCCTTCGTGAGTGGGCGATGACACCCATGGCAATCAGCCTTGGCCTTCTACTGCCAGATGCCAAGGAACGGTCCCGAGTGTGCCAAGTCGTTTCAGTTGATGCAGTGATCCATGAGGGCAGCCTTCCGGCCAACCACGTATACGTCGACCAGGGCCACCATCGACGCCGGCTACCCATTACTAAATGGGCACCTCCGTGTACACCGGGTGTGAATTGCTCTACAGCCGACTGGTTGGCGTTCTACGTCACCCACATTCGAGAAACTCTATGGGACAATCTCTCCGAACTCCAGCACAAGGTGCTGGTGAGTGACACCGGCGGTGGACCTTTGCCGGCCTCGTGTTCGACTACCTGTCACCGAATGCCCCGGCGCATCATCGCAAGGCGGGCAGTCAGGCCAAACCAGCTCGCCGCCAATCCTCGAAGATTCTAAGAGCAGTCTCCATCTCACGGGTCAATGAATGCTATGGCGCCTACACAGCTATTCCCGCAGGAGAGTGTGATCCTGGCGTTCAAGCGTCTTTTCCCCTATGAGTGGTTCGCTGGCTTTCGCTTCCCGCTGGTTGAGGACCTTGTCAATGACTTCCCGTTCATCAGCCATCCGACCTGGAGAGCCCAGCGAGGGTTGGATTGGGATGGACCTCTGGGACCGGAGGGACCCAGCATTCCCGGCTCATGCAGCGCCATGCTGAAGGCCAGCAGGCCGGCGCATTGAGTCACAAAGCAGCCCTACCACCACTTCTGAGCTTTGGCTTGTCCGTCGATGACCACTTTACACAGTCGCTGGCACTTGGGCATCAACCCTTACCCACGGAAAGACTTCCGTTGCTCGACGACGACCTGTGGTTTTGTGCCGAGCATCATTGGAAGCCGCCAGCTGAGCTCTATGCATTGCGCAGGCGAGCCATCGGGGCCATCAAGGAGTTGAAGCAACGGTGGAGCCCAGTTACAGCCCAGTTACGGCGACTTCAGACTCCAGCCATCCGCCGAGTGACGGCGAGCCGCGACCTGGGCTTGACCGCCCTCTTGATCATGCTGCTGTCCTGGGCTGACACCACTTACCCCTATGGGTTGATCAAGGGCATGCCAGCGGTGGGAACAGCCCCGCCCTATGGCATCTTCCCGGTCCAGGAAGGGAGAGAGATCACCCTGGCAGAAGTCCTGGAGGGCTGGCAAGACCACAACTCAGGCATTATCCGACAGTTGAAGCCAGGGCCACATGACAGTGTGTTGCTCGAACAGAGTGAAGCCGACGCCGTTAATGGTTTCTGCACGGAGCCGATGACGCACGCGCAGCTACTTCGTCACATCAAGGGTGCCCCTCACCGGCTAATTCCGAGATGCATCATTGTCCAGTCCAGCGGCAAGAAGCGGATCATCGACAACGGGGACACAGGGGGCCAATCCGAACGTTCTTCTGATTACAACAAGTTGACCTTATGCTCCCCGTTCAGGCCGGCTCAGCACATTGCCGCCGTGGCTGCGTGCGCTTCCCCCGCTCAATGGTACTCTCGTTTGGAGCGGGACTCCTTCGAGAGCGGCGGTGAAGACTGACCCAATGCGTATCGAGGAACGCCCATATCACATGAAGAGTCCCTTGGTTGCGTGGTGGCGTTCTGGCACGAGCAGTGGCAACAACCAGCTTTCCAGCTGTATCATTCTCTGTTGTTTGGTCTGCCGCTAGCGGTCACCAGCTTCAACAGGTACAGTCGGCTGGCATCCGCAGGCTGTGCCTCTGCCTCACGTCGCTCTACTTCGATGACGCGAACATCGTTGACTGGAAATCTTCGAAAGGCTCTGGCCAGGCAGCGTTCAACCAGCTGAATGTCCTCATAGGCACACCCTTCGCCGAGGAGAAACGCCAAGCCATGACAGACAGCGGTATTTTCCTCGGTTTGCATCACGATTTACGTACAGTCCGCACTGGCTTTGTCCGTTTTTGGCCTAGAGACAGATTGATCGCCAAAATGGAGGCATTTCTGAGCGATGCGCTCAGCAGTTCAACGCTGGCCCCTGGCACGGCGTCCAAAATCTACGGCATGATGGCCTTTTTGGAACAAGGCATCTACGGGCGAGTAGGGTGCAGCGGCCTACAAGCCATCAAGGCAAGGCAGTATGAGACAGACCGCTGCCTCACGCCAGCGTTGAAGGAGAGCTTGCAGTTGATCCAAGCTGTTCTCCGACTCCGACCGGCCACGGTGATGGAAGTGATCCACCCCGTGGTACCCAGGTTCGTCGTGGCCTCAGATTCAGCCCTTGAAGCACCTTTTGCAGGTACAGGGGGCTTCCTCATCATATGGTTCGATGGCGCTACAGAGTTGCGAGAAGCTTTTGTTTCCCATATGCCTAGGTCGTTGTACAGCTTGTTCACTCCCGGTGAGAAGAAGATCGCTCAGCTCGAACTAGTTCAGCTTATTTTTGCACTGACGACCAGGCCAGACCGTTTCCGAGGCAGGCGAGGGGTCTGGTTCTTGGATAACAGTGCCGCTTTGATGGCACTGATCCGGGGACGATCGGATGCGGCAGACGCATGTCACAAATCGTGCATGTCTTACTCTTTGGTCTGCAGTGCTGGATGTTCTTCGAGTGGATCCCCTCGAAGAGCAATTGGGCTGACGCTATCAGCCGATTGGGCTTCCAAGACCCATGGCGCGTGAAGCAGGGATTTACCCAATCAGAGGCATTTTTCCCGTTTATCCTGTGGCAACTGCCAGTTGCTAGCCTCACTCGCGTGGCCGAATACTTGTAAGTGCGTTGGGGATTTTAAAGTGCTTTGGGTGATATCTGGAGTGACCAGATGAAACCCAGCCAGGGGTGACCTGGCAAGGAGCCAACCGGTAAGGAAGCGATCCTTGCCTACCCAACGCAAATAGCCTGTACGACATACAAGCTTCGGACCCGACTAGGGCTTGACGGAAAAAGTGCGGAGTGTGTCTCACAAGACAGGGTCCTAACACTCTAGGAATGTATGACTGTCTTAGGGTCTGGCAGGCTTGGGTGGATAGTTGTCATTCCATAGAGAGTTCAGAACCTGTGTCCATTTTGGCTCAAGTCTGATCCAAACTGGCAGGTTCTGTGTTTTCTCCCTCCCACAAAGTTTTCAACTTTGACCCACCCTGATTAGAGACCCTCGGTGAGGTGTTCCCTAATCTTGAAGGATGCGTAGCCATCCGGGGTCCGCGTGTAGTGCACGCGGTTGACTCCTACCCAGCGTTCTGGGCAGTGCCCCCTTCCTAGTCAGGAGTGGGAATACTTGTAAGTGCGTTGGGGATTTTAAAGTGCTTTGGGTGATATCTGGAGTGACCAGATGAAACCCAGCCAGGGGTGACCTGGCAAGGAGCCAACCGGTAAGGAAGCGATCCTTACCTACCCAACGCAAATAGCCTGTACGACATACAAGCTTCGGACCCGACTAGGGCTTGACGGAAAAAGTGCGGAGTGTGTCTCACAAGACAGGGTCCTAACACTCTAGGAATGTATATATATAAAAACCATGGTGTAAGTTTGTGACTTTTGTTGGTTGTGTCGTGAGCTTCTTCCTGACTAGAACGTTTGCATGACGTTTTCTCTACCGAGGCAAAGGCGATGCCTCGACGAAGATGTCTCGTTGGAGAAAAGAAGCGACTGGCACCTTTGACAGAGAGGGATTCACAAAGCGAGGTAAGGGCCTCTCTACGGTAAGGTTTGCTGGCCTGTTCCAAAACCGACTGGAGTTGTGTGACTCTTTTTGACTGTGTGAACCTTCGACAGAAGAAACGCCAAGAGGGCTGGTGGAAGCAGGTGACGGAGCCCGTTGCACCCGTGGATGGAGGCCAATCTCTGGGCTCTGAAGCCCTCTTTGATTGTTGAACCTTCAAAGCCTGCGAATCACAGCTGCTGCTTGACTGGAGTAGCTGCTCATTGCAAGCAGACGTTGCACTCATGCTTGAGGTTTGCATGCCGATACAGCCACAAGTGAAACTTGCATTTTCTCACGTCGTGGGTTGGGGTCAGAGCCCGTGCCGCAGAAAGAAACCCGCTCTTGGCGATACTTCACACAACAGGCCATTCCAATGCGCCTGGCTCACCACCACCAGTGGCAAGGCGACTATTCCCCACACTGTAGAAATGACTAGAGAAAACACTTCTTGTTGAGTTGCTTTAGCCAACATGTACTGACTTCTGTCAACTGCATGTCTGAAGAGTGGTAGCAGTGGCGAATTCTCTGTCGTGAGACCGAGAGTTCATTCAATGAGCACCGTTACCGTTTCCAAATGCAACAGGTATCCAGAAGACATGTTTAGTATTGTGAATGAACTTGTGCATCACCGTCACAAGCCTGTTTTTGACTTCAAAGGCCATAGTAGAGAATGATGTTGAATGTTGAATAATGTTTGCCACGTTATTTTTTGCTCGAAAACAACGCGACAAAGTTCTGAGTTTGAGTTTGAGCTTCTTGAACTGTGCGTCTCACGGAAGGATTACAATGCCTCCGATGGTAGCGTACACCAGCAAGGCGCAGCAAGTTCATTCAAGGATCCCTGAGAAGCACCGGCACAACACTGTCCATCTCGTGTAATAGCCACACATAGAAGCAAGGCAGCCTTGAACCCCAAAAACTGCAATGCAAAGACGTTGATTCCTTTTAACTCTTTGGTCCATGCTTCAGCTCTAGGTTTATCTATATACATTCTAAGTTCGTTCAACTGAGCTTTCAATCGGTTGCAAGCTGCGAGGTGATCCTGCAAGATGATCGCACTCAGCAACGTTTGGCAATGTGCGGATCTTGGAATGACAGAGCGCTTAATGAACCTCTTTTGCTACACGGCTACACCTTCTAGAGTTGCTTCAGAACCCAGTGATATGTAGCTCGTCCCTGAAATACCTTACAAGAGAGGGAATAGCTACTTCTTCCACTATGCCAACCAAAACAGGAACTTTTAGCCTGGTGGAAAGCGCGTTCACCGATGAGATGGACTCAGCTCAGGTTGGAGCAGAAATGCCGCGCACAAGAGGCACAGAGTTTGTTTCAGATGGGCAGAGGAGTTCTCTAGCTAGTTGTGAAGTTGTGTTTTTTCCATTTGCTACACCGTACTGTACTGGATGAAAGACCAGTTTCTAAATGGATCTAAGCACTTACAGGTGAGGACACTTGTGTTATGAGAGGTGAAAGATCCAGATCCTGGCTGCACGATCCGAAGGTTGATGTAATTCTACAATTGGTTTCTCAGGTTGATCTCATCGCTGCAGGTGATGCTGGCTGAGAAGGACGCCCAACTTCAGATCAGCGAGGCCATAGCAATCAATCGATCCGGGTCCAAAGCGGTCACGTCCGTCCTTCCTTTTCTTTTTGTTTAGACCTTTAAACCTTAGACACCTCCTTTTTTTCCATTTTCTTTCGTCCTGCCTTTCCTCTTTCTTCTTGCACTTGAGATTAGAGGGTGGTGAGGCCGTAGAACAGAGCAATTCACAGTTCTTGAGGCCGGTGAACCCAACTCCCAGCTGCGGATGATCACGCCGGAGCCTTTGTTTGGGTTCTAGATTCATAAGTGCTTGATTGGGCGAATCAAGGGGGGCCCCAACACATCATTTCTGAGGTTTTGCCATTGAATGGATTGAGATCATTGGAATCCAGTTCAGCTCGGTTCAGCCGCAGCTGTTTAGCCTCAAAACAGCCGTTCTTTGAGAAGCTATTTCCAGGACTGTCCCGTTGTTTGCATATTTTGCAAGCAATGACTTCTTTCGTCCCGACATTGATGGCCTTGACCGCGTTGACCGTGGGAGCCACTTGCATAGGCCACCAGGAACTGCAGGTGGGGCGATGTTGTTTGCATGCCAGAAATAATTTGGGCAGATTGTCATGAAGTGACGAGGAAAATTCTCTACACTTCGTCGAATTGTACACATTGTATCATTCGCTGAGAATGTAGCCGCCCGTTTCCACTACGACAATTGATATTATGTAATTTAGCAAAAACTTTTTTAGACGGGAGGACAGGAATGACCAAGCAAAAGAGTCTCTCACACATTTCCTCAAAATCTGTCACCTGTGGTTTGGCAGCTTGTGTTTCTGTTTTGAAAGGGGCAGAATTATGCAAGTCTTTGAGCCTCTTCGAGCCTCTTGCTGCATGAGCAAGTGCTGCTGCCGAGTGCTTGGATTTGCTTCGTTTTGCTTCTGTTTTCCATGTTGCAGATCGACATCTTGACCATGCCACCTGACCTGAGGAAGGACGGACAGCAAGACTGGAGGGAAATTATCCAAGTGCAGTGCGCGGGTCTTGGTGTGTTTTAGTGATGATAAACGACCAGGCTCGTCCTGAAGTTGCCATTCCGGCAAGGTCTGTGCTGGTTGGGTCTCGATGACAAAGGTGGCTACTCCAAATGCAAGGACTTGAAAATGACTCTTTTTGGCTCTTTCTAATTTTTTGTTTTTGGGAATTAGATTCATGCATTTTCACGTGTTCCAGAAGGAAAGCTGCCACTTGGAGATTGAGTATATCGTCCAGTACTCCACCAAGGGCTGGTTTGGCAGAAGCAAGAAGGGAGCAAGTCCCGCCGAACCAACAAACTGTTGGGAGAGGGGTGGTGGATATTTGTCGGGTGGATCTTGCAGCTAGTGAAGCAGCCTCACTCAAATCCGCTGGCAAAATGCCACAAGGTGTCCATTGCTGTCGTAGTGAGACGCCTCAAATTGAAAAAGAGCTCAGCCAGTCTGACACCCGAGGTACCTGCTGCACAATGTGTACAGTAAAGTTGTCAGTTTCGGTTTCGGAATGCCTTGTTAGGATGGACTACGAACATGTTGCTTAGTCAAGAGCGGTACTCAACGCTGTTGAGCAACATCTTAGATACCGCCCTGGTTGCGCAGGCTTGAGCAGCAACTGAAGGCGGCAGAGGCACTACAGCCACTAAAAAACATTCCTTTGCCCCGCTGCACGGCCAATTCACGCTTGGATAATCTGCTGGGACCCCTCAGTCTGCAGGTGATGCTGGCCGAGAAAGATGGTCAGATTGAGAAGCTCACTGAGTTGGCTGGGGATCTTGGGTGGGCTTGCAAATTTCTAAAAACATCATCGTCGCAATTCCCAAGGATTCCCCTCAGACGGCACATACCAGTGTTCCAGTGGCAGGCTTTGGGTACAGTTCAAGTGGGTGGCCCCAAACAGGACAAGCACTTGGCTTGATGGCTAGTTAATTATGTACTTAGTGTTTCGCTTTGACTCACCGACTTGGAAAAAGCCCTATGTACTTTGTAGCCATAGTCACGCCAGTTGCTCTTTCCATCAGGTGGAGGTGGCTAAAAGCTCCATGCACGAGCTGGGCACTGAAGCTGACCGCTGGGAACCCAAGTCTAGAGGCTGCGAAACCAGGAGTTCTTCTTTCTCCTTTGGATTATTGTTTCTTCATTTCTCACTGTTTTTTCAGACATTTTCACACGCTGAGGAGAAAGTCAAGAGTTGCAGAACGAACTGCAAGCGGCCAAGGCTGACATTGAGATATTGAATCTGACATGAACATGTTGTAAATTGCTGCAAGCCTCCAAAGGGCTTTGCTATGGTTGCTCCCAGAATCCCGTCCTGTTGTGGAGAACAAAAAAAAGCTTGACAATCCCGAGCTCACATTACAAAATTGTGTATGTTTGTACTACACCGCTTTTTGGACAATCAGTGCCGACATGTCGTAGGCAGAGCTGGAGGCTCGGCTGACTGTGGAGTTTGGATTTGCAATCCCAAAGTCAAAGGTGGAAAACATTTTTTCTTATCCAGGGTCACAGGGCAATTGATTTTCAAATCTTTTGGACCAGATCCTTCAACTTTGGCAATCGCATTTAAACAGGATGCCACCTGTCGCCTGGAGGACATGGGTTTGGATTTGTTTGGGAGCGCAAAGTGACTAGAATTTGATTCAGCATCAATACACATGGAGCCCCACCGCTGGTGAGAGATGAGTCGATTTGCTCTAGCCCCTAGTAGCTTCTTGTTCCTAGTAGTAAGGCCAGGAGCCCCTAGTAGCGTCCTTGCTCCCAATAGCGATGCCAGGAGCCCCTAGTAGCGTCCTTGCTCCTAGTAGCGAT